CTTATCTACGAGGAAACTCGTGGAGTTCTAAAAGTGTTTTTGGAGAACGTAATTCGCGATGCTGTCACCTACACCGAACACGCCAAAAGGAAGACCGTGACGGCCATGGATGTTGTTTATGCCCTGAAGAGACAAGGACGCACTCTATACGGCTTTGGCGGTTAAAATTATTTTTGTACAGCCTGTACTTAACTATGTATACAATCGGTCCTTTTCAGGACCACAATTTGTTTTAACAGAAAAAGAGAAATAAATTTTAAATAATACCTACATATCTTAGCCTATTAGACAATAAATATATCTAATTATTCAGCACGCTTAAGGCATGCGGCACCCACCAGTGGACTGAAGTCTACACTTATAGTAAAATATATATTGTAGTTTATACAATTCGTTAATATATGTGTATTATACAATCAATAAAAACGCACAATATGACTTAAATCTAAAAGTTTTATTTTAAAAAGAGAAAGAAACTACTAGAAAAGAAGCTTCATATATATATTTTTTTCAATCACACTTCACGCAAATAATAAATACGAAATTCTTGAATTTTATATGTAAGTGGAATTTCAACTTTTATTTCTATCATAGATACATAATGTATCCACAAACATACATTTTTCTCCAATAAATCTGTTTAGAATATTTTTTTGTTGTTTAAACTATTGTCTTGGCCTAATATTTCTAATGAAAATTTGCATTCTTCTTAAATGGTTTGGTCGTCCTGAAAAGGACGTTTGGGTTTATATATGAGTTTATGTACAAGCAGGTAAGATACAGGACCGCAATTAAATCTTTAAGCCTTCTTCTCGGTCTTCTTTGGCAACAGGACAGCCTGGATGTTGGGCAGAACGCCACCCTGAGCAATGGTGACACCAGAGAGCAGCTTGTTCAACTCCTCGTCATTGCGAATGGCCAACTGCAGATGACGGGGAATGATCCTAGTCTTCTTGTTGTCACGGGCAGCATTGCCAGCTAACTCGAGAACTTCAGCTGCCAGGTATTCCATAACGGCAGCCAGATAAACAGGAGCGCCGGCACCAACGCGTTCAGCATAGTTGCCTTTGCGGAGCAGACGGTGAATACGTCCAACGGGAAACTGAAGACCAGCACGATTCGATCGGGACTTTGCCTTTCCCTTCACTTTTCCACCCTTGCCACGGCCAGACATATTTTTTTACTTCACGTTTATTCACTTCACACACGAATATTGAACACAACTTCGGAACACCAATTTATACCTATGCGTTTGCCTTTGCGTTCCGTTGGGGGTAGGTCGTTTCTGATGAACATTTTGAATAGCAGACCTGAAAACCCTGCTCGAATAAAAGTACTAAAAACTGATCCAACACCAACTTTGGTATAAGTGGAAGTGAAGTGAATTTTAAAGTAATAATGCCGCCGAAAACCAGTGGAAAGGCAGCCAAGAAGGCTGGCAAAGCTCAGAAAAATATAACCAAGAACGATAAGAAGAAGAAGCGCAAGAGGAAGGAAAGCTATGCCATCTACATCTACAAGGTTCTGAAGCAGGTCCACCCTGACACTGGAATTTCGTCTAAAGCTATGAGTATAATGAACAGCTTCGTGAACGATATCTTTGAGCGTATTGCTGCTGAGGCATCGCGTCTGGCGCATTACAACAAGCGCTCGACCATCACCAGTCGGGAAATCCAAACGGCTGTTCGCCTTCTCCTGCCTGGAGAGTTGGCCAAGCACGCCGTCAGTGAAGGAACCAAGGCTGTCACCAAGTATACAAGCTCCAAGTAGATTTCTCGCTTGATGGGCAGAATGATCGAAAAAGGCCCTTTTCAGGGCCACAACATTATTTCATCAAAGACACCCATTTTTCAATAAAAGTAAATAAATTAATTGTTTGAAATCGTTTTTGTAAGAAACTGAAATTTAATTTATGTTGTTTTAGTATTAATATACTATATTATAAATAGCCAATTCATGATCGCTATTTTAAATCCAATTAGGATGGATGAAATTTATATTTATACTGTATTAGCATTTATATAATATATTATATTCTTATATTAATACAATTTTCAAAATTACGATTGCTATTTTGAATCCAATTAGGATTAAGATACTCTTCTAAAATGTCAAGCTAAGCAAAATTGATATTTTTTCTCTTTAAAAAATGTATTGTAGCCCTGAAAAGGGCTTGTTTAATGTAATTTTAGATATCGAAATCTAAAATTGCGATTGCGAAACTGTACAAATATAATGCACATTATCACAATTTATTTTTTCGCTGCCGTGGTCTTAGCTTTCGGCTTCTTTGCGGTAGTAGGAGCTGGTGCTTTCTTTACCGTCTTCTTGGGCTTAGCGGATGCAGCTGGTTTAGCCTTTGGGGCTTTAGCTGCCTTTGGTTTCGCCGATGATGGCTTCACTTTTGTTGCTACTGTTTTAGCCTTAACGGTACCAGACTTCTTAGCGTCCTTTGCCTTGGCCTTCTCGGTTTTCTTCTTTTCAGCTGTCTTCTTGGTAGCCACGGCTTTTTTAGTTTTCGGCTTCTTGTCGGCAGCTCCCGCGGCCTTCTTAGTGGTGGCTCCGGTCTTCTTGGTCGATACCTTCTTGCTTTTAGTTTTTTTCTCAACAGAAGAAGGCTTCGGCTTGGGCTCCTTTTTGGCTGAAGCCGATAATTTAAAGGAACCAGAAGCACCCTTTCCCTTCGTCTGGATCAGCTTACCATTGGCCACAGCAGACTTCAGGTACTTCTTGATGAAAGGAGCCAGTTTCTGAGCATCGCACTTGTATGTGGCAGTGATGTACTTCTTGATTGCTAGAAGCGAGGAGCCCCCACGCTCCTTCAAATTCTTAATTGAAGCGTCTACCATTTGTTGAGTTGGCGGATGCGATGGTGGTGCTGCGGTCTTCTTCGCTTTTGTGGCAGCAGATCCAGTTGCCTTTTTGGCTGCTACTTTCTTCTCAGCCGGCGCCGGTGGAGCTGCCACAGGAGACGCGGATGTAGCTACTGCTGAATCAGACATTCTTTAAATTTTTATTCACAAAAATAAACTTTTTTTATGCAAAAAATAGCCCGCGAACCCACATCCAAAGTCCCTTGTTCGGATGAGAATCGAGGAGGAGAGCAGTTTGACTATGTGTTTGGCACAGTTCATTTGTGTTACAAATGTTTTTTCAAAGGGTGTAATTATTTTTCATTATTTTGTTCTTATGATAATAAAATTAATGTTTGTTTTAATTGCGTTTGAATCTTAAATATTCAAAATTTGAGGAAAACCTTTCTCAGTTGCCGTATATAGATTCGATACTTTTTTTTGGGTACCCGAAAGTGCACGTTTACGTTAATATCTTAAATATTTTGCATTAAAACGTCATTAAAAATATAAAATTGTTGTATTTTTTGTTAATTTACTACTGAAAGTCTTAAATTGAACTTTCAACTACCAGCTATGCAAAACGTAACTATATTTTTATGAAGTATTCATGCTTAAATATAGCTTTTAAAATGACCCTTTCCTGGATAAAATGTGAACTTTCATTTGACATTAAGAAACTGTTTTCGTACTAAAAAATATTATTTTTCTAAAATAATGTAAATTAAAATGTTTAATATTAGAATAAATCTTATCTATTTCCCATTCTGCATATCTTAAAAATTCTAAATTCATTTTCGTCTCAAAAATGGATTGTATATTTTCCACTGGTAGCTCGAAGGTATACGTTGAGGCTAGTAATTTATATTCTGAATGTGTTCATATTACCAATAAACTTTTCTTACTTAACTTTTAGTTACCATATTAAAACGCAAAAAATAAACTACAATTTGTTCTTGGGACTAATGAATTTTATTTGACAATATATACACAATTTACTATATTATTTAATAATATACAACTTATAAATTAGTTTCCAATAGACAATATGTATATTAAAAAAAAAAATGAAATGTAATTCAACTTTTTTATAACAAGACCCTTCGACCCTTTGCCGCTTTTGTAAAAATCATAATAACATTATTTATAAATTATTAATAAATGATTATTTTGATGATCCGCTGCTCACACAAGACCAGACATATTTTTGGTTCTTCATATATGTATCTTCCAAATAATGACAACAGTGTATTTCAATGTTTATTTTGTAAACAATTCCTTATTTATAAAAAAAAACATGCTTTTAAATGCTTGGATTTATTTTAGTTATAATATATATCCTAGCGTTCGAAAAAAAATATTTAAACCTAACCTATTTTAACCTTTTAAACCTAAAAATAAGTTCTGTAAAATCAAAATAGTTATTCAAATCTCAGTTAAAAAAAGCTTTGTGGTCCTGAAAAGGACCGATTTTTTAGTTTAAATTTAAGGGCTGCCAATTGACAATTGTTCAATTTAAGCGCGCTCTCCACGGATACGACGGGCCAGCTGGATGTCTTTGGGCATAATAGTAACACGCTTAGCATGGATGGCGCACAAATTGGTATCTTCAAACAGACCAACCAGATAGGCTTCGCTAGCTTCCTGCAAAGCCATCACAGCAGAGCTCTGGAAGCGCAAATCTGTCTTGAAATCCTGAGCTATTTCACGCACCAACCGCTGGAATGGCAGTTTACGGATCAACAGCTCAGTACTCTTCTGGTAGCGACGGATCTCACGGAGAGCCACAGTTCCGGGGCGATAGCGATGGGGCTTCTTTACTCCTCCGGTGGCTGGCGCACTTTTACGTGCGGCCTTTGTAGCCAGTTGTTTGCGTGGGGCCTTGCCACCAGTCGATTTACGAGCAGTCTGCTTTGTACGAGCCATTTCAATTTCCAAATTCACTGTTCTCTTCGCGCCTCTAATAACACAATAAACGTGCTGCCCGTTTCGCTACCTCTTTATATACCAGAAACGCCGAGGGTTGAAAAGAGGGAGATAGAACGACCTGCCATTTCGTCTATTGGGTTTACGAAGAGCGGGAAAAGCATATCGCTCCGAACTCTTCGAATTCTCGTTGAATCGGTATAAAGAGCGGTGGCTCCTTCCGCGTTAAGTTAGTTCTTCAGTGACTATCGTGCAGTGTCGTATCGTTAATAAACAAAACTGAAAAATGACTGGACGCGGTAAAGGTGGCAAAGGTCTGGGAAAAGGTGGCGCTAAGCGTCATCGCAAAGTCTTGCGTGATAACATCCAGGGTATTACGAAGCCAGCTATCCGTCGTTTGGCTCGTCGTGGCGGTGTGAAGCGCATCTCTGGTCTTATCTACGAGGAAACTCGTGGAGTTCTAAAAGTGTTTTTGGAGAACGTAATTCGCGATGCTGTCACCTACACCGAACACGCCAAAAGGAAGACCGTGACGGCCATGGATGTTGTTTATGCCCTGAAGAGACAAGGACGCACTCTATACGGCTTTGGCGGTTAAAATTATTTTTGTACAGCCTGTACTTAACTATGTATACAATCGGTCCTTTTCAGGACCACAATTTGTTTTAACAGAAAAAGAGAAATAAATTTTAAATAATACCTACATATCTTAGCCTATTAGACAATAAATATATCTAATTATTCAGCACGCTTAAGGCATGCGGCACCCACCAGTGGACTGAAGTCTACACTTATAGTAAAATATATATTGTAGTTTATACAATTCGTTAATATATGTGTATTATACAATCAATAAAAACGCACAATATGACTTAAATCTAAAAGTTTTATTTTAAAAAGAGAAAGAAACTACTAGAAAAGAAGCTTCATATATATATTTTTTTCAATCACACTTCACGCAAATAATAAATACGAAATTCTTGAATTTTATATGTAAGTGGAATTTCAACTTTTATTTCTATCATAGATACATAATGTATCCACAAACATACATTTTTCTCCAATAAATCTGTTTAGAATATTTTTTTGTTGTTTAAACTATTGTCTTGGCCTAATATTTCTAATGAAAATTTGCATTCTTCTTAAATGGTTTGGTCGTCCTGAAAAGGACGTTTGGGTTTATATATGAGTTTATGTACAAGCAGGTAAGATACAGGACCGCAATTAAATCTTTAAGCCTTCTTCTCGGTCTTCTTTGGCAACAGGACAGCCTGGATGTTGGGCAGAACGCCACCCTGAGCAATGGTGACACCAGAGAGCAGCTTGTTCAACTCCTCGTCATTGCGAATGGCCAACTGCAGATGACGGGGAATGATCCTAGTCTTCTTGTTGTCACGGGCAGCATTGCCAGCTAACTCGAGAACTTCAGCTGCCAGGTATTCCATAACGGCAGCCAGATAAACAGGAGCGCCGGCACCAACGCGTTCAGCATAGTTGCCTTTGCGGAGCAGACGGTGAATACGTCCAACGGGAAACTGAAGACCAGCACGATTCGATCGGGACTTTGCCTTTCCCTTCACTTTTCCACCCTTGCCACGGCCAGACATATTTTTTTACTTCACGTTTATTCACTTCACACACGAATATTGAACACAACTTCGGAACACCAATTTATACCTATGCGTTTGCCTTTGCGTTCCGTTGGGGGTAGGTCGTTTCTGATGAACATTTTGAATAGCAGACCTGAAAACCCTGCTCGAATAAAAGTACTAAAAACTGATCCAACACCAACTTTGGTATAAGTGGAAGTGAAGTGAATTTTAAAGTAATAATGCCGCCGAAAACCAGTGGAAAGGCAGCCAAGAAGGCTGGCAAAGCTCAGAAAAATATAACCAAGAACGATAAGAAGAAGAAGCGCAAGAGGAAGGAAAGCTATGCCATCTACATCTACAAGGTTCTGAAGCAGGTCCACCCTGACACTGGAATTTCGTCTAAAGCTATGAGTATAATGAACAGCTTCGTGAACGATATCTTTGAGCGTATTGCTGCTGAGGCATCGCGTCTGGCGCATTACAACAAGCGCTCGACCATCACCAGTCGGGAAATCCAAACGGCTGTTCGCCTTCTCCTGCCTGGAGAGTTGGCCAAGCACGCCGTCAGTGAAGGAACCAAGGCTGTCACCAAGTATACAAGCTCCAAGTAGATTTCTCGCTTGATGGGCAGAATGATCGAAAAAGGCCCTTTTCAGGGCCACAACATTATTTCATCAAAGACACCCATTTTTCAATAAAAGTAAATAAATTAATTGTTTGAAATCGTTTTTGTAAGAAACTGAAATTTAATTTATGTTGTTTTAGTATTAATATACTATATTATAAATAGCCAATTCGCGATCGCTATTTTAAATCCAATTAGGATGGATGAAATTTATATTTATACTGTATTAGCATTTATATAATATATTATATTCTTATATTAATACAATTTTCAAAATTACGATTGCTATTTTGAATCCAATTAGGATTAAGATACTCTTCTAAAATGTCAAGCTAAGCAAAATTGATATTTTTTCTCTTTAAAAAATGTATTGTAGCCCTGAAAAGGGCTTGTTTAATGTAATTTTAGATATCGAAATCTAAAATTGCGATTGCGAAACTGTACAAATATAATGCACATTATCACAATTTATTTTTTCGCTGCCGTGGTCTTAGCTTTCGGCTTCTTTGCGGTAGTAGGAGCTGGTGCTTTCTTTACCGTCTTCTTGGGCTTAGCGGATGCAGCTGGTTTAGCCTTTGGGGCTTTAGCTGCCTTTGGTTTCGCCGATGATGGCTTCACTTTTGTTGCTACTGTTTTAGCCTTAACGGTACCAGACTTCTTAGCGTCCTTTGCCTTGGCCTTCTCGGTTTTCTTCTTTTCAGCTGTCTTCTTGGTAGCCACGGCTTTTTTAGTTTTCGGCTTCTTGTCGGCAGCTCCCGCGGCCTTCTTAGTGGTGGCTCCGGTCTTCTTGGTCGATACCTTCTTGCTTTTAGTTTTTTCTCAACAGAAGAAGGCTTCGGCTTGGGCTCCTTTTTGGCTGAAGCCGATAATTTAAAGGAACCAGAAGCACCCTTTCCCTTCGTCTGGATCAGCTTACCATTGGCCACAGCAGACTTCAGGTACTTCTTGATGAAAGGAGCCAGTTTCTGAGCATCGCACTTGTATGTGGCAGTGATGTACTTCTTGATTGCTAGAAGCGAGGAGCCCCCACGCTCCTTCAAATTCTTAATTGAAGCGTCTACCATTTGTTGAGTTGGCGGATGCGATGGTGGTGCTGCGGTCTTCTTCGCTTTTGTGGCAGCAGATCCAGTTGCCTTTTTGGCTGCTACTTTCTTCTCAGCCGGCGCCGGTGGAGCTGCCACAGGAGACGCGGATGTAGCTACTGCTGAATCAGACATTCTTTAAATTTTTATTCACAAAAATAAACTTTTTTTATGCAAAAAATAGCCCGCGAACCCACATCCAAAGTCCCTTGTTCGGATGAGAATCGAGGAGGAGAGCAGTTTGACTATGTGTTTGGCACAGTTCATTTGTGTTACAAATGTTTTTTCAAAGGGTGTAATTATTTTTCATTATTTTGTTCTTATGATAATAAAATTAATGTTTGTTTTAATTGCGTTTGAATCTTAAATATTCAAAATTTGAGGAAAACCTTTCTCAGTTGCCGTATATAGATTCGATACTTTTTTTGGGTACCCGAAAGTGCACGTTTACGTTAATATCTTAAATATTTTGCATTAAAACGTCATTAAAAATATAAAATTGTTGTATTTTTTGTTAATTTACTACTGAAAGTCTTAAATTGAACTTTCAACTACCAGCTATGCAAAACGTAACTATATTTTTATGAAGTATTCATGCTTAAATATAGCTTTTAAAATGACCCTTTCCTGGATAAAATGTGAACTTTCATTTGACATTAAGAAACTGTTTTCGTACTAAAAAATATTATTTTTCTAAAATAATGTAAATTAAAATGTTTAATATTAGAATAAATCTTATCTATTTCCCATTCTGCATATCTTAAAAATTCTAAATTCATTTTCGTCTCAAAAATGGATTGTATATTTTCCACTGGTAGCTCGAAGGTATACGTTGAGGCTAGTAATTTATATTCTGAATGTGTTCATATTACCAATAAACTTTTCTTACTTAACTTTTAGTTACCATATTAAAACGCAAAAAATAAACTACAATTTGTTCTTGGGACTAATGAATTTTATTTGACAATATATACACAATTTACTATATTATTTAATAATATACAACTTATAAATTAGTTTCCAATAGACAATATGTATATTAAAAAAAAAATGAAATGTAATTCAACTTTTTTATAACAAGACCCTTCGACCCTTTGCCGCTTTTGTAAAAATCATAATAACATTATTTATAAATTATTAATAAATGATTATTTTGATGATCCGCTGCTCACACAAGACCAGACATATTTTTGGTTCTTCATATATGTATCTTCCAAATAATGACAACAGTGTATTTCAATGTTTATTTTGTAAACAATTCCTTATTTATAAAAAAACATGCTTTTAAATGCTTGGATTTATTTTAGTTATAATATATATCCTAGCGTTCGAAAAAAATATTTAAACCTAACCTATTTTAACCTTTTAAACCTAAAAATAAGTTCTGTAAAATCAAAATAGTTATTCAAATCTCAGTTAAAAAAAGCTTTGTGGTCCTGAAAAGGACCGATTTTTTAGTTTAAATTTAAGGGCTGCCAATTGACAATTGTTCAATTTAAGCGCGCTCTCCACGGATACGACGGGCCAGCTGGATGTCTTTGGGCATAATAGTAACACGCTTAGCATGGATGGCGCACAAATTGGTATCTTCAAACAGACCAACCAGATAGGCTTCGCTAGCTTCCTGCAAAGCCATCACAGCAGAGCTCTGGAAGCGCAAATCTGTCTTGAAATCCTGAGCTATTTCACGCACCAACCGCTGGAATGGCAGTTTACGGATCAACAGCTCAGTACTCTTCTGGTAGCGACGGATCTCACGGAGAGCCACAGTTCCGGGGCGATAGCGATGGGGCTTCTTTACTCCTCCGGTGGCTGGCGCACTTTTACGTGCGGCCTTTGTAGCCAGTTGTTTGCGTGGGGCCTTGCCACCAGTCGATTTACGAGCAGTCTGCTTTGTACGAGCCATTTCAATTTCCAAATTCACTGTTCTCTTCGCGCCTCTAATAACACAATAAACGTGCTGCCCGTTTCGCTACCTCTTTATATACCAGAAACGCCGAGGGTTGAAAAGAGGGAGATAGAACGACCTGCCATTTCGTCTATTGGGTTTACGAAGAGCGGGAAAAGCATATCGCTCCGAACTCTTCGAATTCTCGTTGAATCGGTATAAAGAGCGGTGGCTCCTTCCGCGTTAAGTTAGTTCTTCAGTGACTATCGTGCAGTGTCGTATCGTTAATAAACAAAACTGAAAAATGACTGGACGCGGTAAAGGTGGCAAAGGTCTGGGAAAAGGTGGCGCTAAGCGTCATCGCAAAGTCTTGCGTGATAACATCCAGGGTATTACGAAGCCAGCTATCCGTCGTTTGGCTCGTCGTGGCGGTGTGAAGCGCATCTCTGGTCTTATCTACGAGGAAACTCGTGGAGTTCTAAAAGTGTTTTTGGAGAACGTAATTCGCGATGCTGTCACCTACACCGAACACGCCAAAAGGAAGACCGTGACGGCCATGGATGTTGTTTATGCCCTGAAGAGACAAGGACGCACTCTATACGGCTTTGGCGGTTAAAATTATTTTTGTACAGCCTGTACTTAACTATGTATACAATCGGTCCTTTTCAGGACCACAATTTGTTTTAACAGAAAAAGAGAAATAAATTTTAAATAATACCTACATATCTTAGCCTATTAGACAATAAATATATCTAATTATTCAGCACGCTTAAGGCATGCGGCACCCACCAGTGGACTGAAGTCTACACTTATAGTAAAATATATATTGTAGTTTATACAATTCGTTAATATATGTGTATTATACAATCAATAAAAACGCACAATATGACTTAAATCTAAAAGTTTTATTTTAAAAAGAGAAAGAAACTACTAGAAAAGAAGCTTCATATATATATTTTTTTCAATCACACTTCACGCAAATAATAAATACGAAATTCTTGAATTTTATATGTAAGTGGAATTTCAACTTTTATTTCTATCATAGATACATAATGTATCCACAAACATACATTTTTCTCCAATAAATCTGTTTAGAATATTTTTTTGTTGTTTAAACTATTGTCTTGGCCTAATATTTCTAATGAAAATTTGCATTCTTCTTAAATGGTTTGGTCGTCCTGAAAAGGACGTTTGGGTTTATATATGAGTTTATGTACAAGCAGGTAAGATACAGGACCGCAATTAAATCTTTAAGCCTTCTTCTCGGTCTTCTTTGGCAACAGGACAGCCTGGATGTTGGGCAGAACGCCACCCTGAGCAATGGTGACACCAGAGAGCAGCTTGTTCAACTCCTCGTCATTGCGAATGGCCAACTGCAGATGACGGGGAATGATCCTAGTCTTCTTGTTGTCACGGGCAGCATTGCCAGCTAACTCGAGAACTTCAGCTGCCAGGTATTCCATAACGGCAGCCAGATAAACAGGAGCGCCGGCACCAACGCGTTCAGCATAGTTGCCTTTGCGGAGCAGACGGTGAATACGTCCAACGGGAAACTGAAGACCAGCACGATTCGATCGGGACTTTGCCTTTCCCTTCACTTTTCCACCCTTGCCACGGCCAGACATATTTTTTTACTTCACGTTTATTCACTTCACACACGAATATTGAACACAACTTCGGAACACCAATTTATACCTATGCGTTTGCCTTTGCGTTCCGTTGGGGGTAGGTCGTTTCTGATGAACATTTTGAATAGCAGACCTGAAAACCCTGCTCGAATAAAAGTACTAAAAACTGATCCAACACCAACTTTGGTATAAGTGGAAGTGAAGTGAATTTTAAAGTAATAATGCCGCCGAAAACCAGTGGAAAGGCAGCCAAGAAGGCTGGCAAAGCTCAGAAAAATATAACCAAGAACGATAAGAAGAAGAAGCGCAAGAGGAAGGAAAGCTATGCCATCTACATCTACAAGGTTCTGAAGCAGGTCCACCCTGACACTGGAATTTCGTCTAAAGCTATGAGTATAATGAACAGCTTCGTGAACGATATCTTTGAGCGTATTGCTGCTGAGGCATCGCGTCTGGCGCATTACAACAAGCGCTCGACCATCACCAGTCGGGAAATCCAAACGGCTGTTCGCCTTCTCCTGCCTGGAGAGTTGGCCAAGCACGCCGTCAGTGAAGGAACCAAGGCTGTCACCAAGTATACAAGCTCCAAGTAGATTTCTCGCTTGATGGGCAGAATGATCGAAAAAGGCCCTTTTCAGGGCCACAACATTATTTCATCAAAGACACCCATTTTTCAATAAAAGTAAATAAATTAATTGTTTGAAATCGTTTTTGTAAGAAACTGAAATTTAATTTATGTTGTTTTAGTATTAATATACTATATTATAAATAGCCAATTCATGATCGCTATTTTAAATCCAATTAGGATGGATGAAATTTATATTTATACTGTATTAGCATTTATATAATATATTATATTCTTATATTAATACAATTTTCAAAATTACGATTGCTATTTTGAATCCAATTAGGATTAAGATACTCTTCTAAAATGTCAAGCTAAGCAAAATTGATATTTTTTCTCTTTAAAAAATGTATTGTAGCCCTGAAAAGGGCTTGTTTAATGTAATTTTAGATATCGAAATCTAAAATTGCGATTGCGAAACTGTACAAATATAATGCACATTATCACAATTTATTTTTTCGCTGCCGTGGTCTTAGCTTTCGGCTTCTTTGCGGTAGTAGGAGCTGGTGCTTTCTTTACCGTCTTCTTGGGCTTAGCGGATGCAGCTGGTTTAGCCTTTGGGGCTTTAGCTGCCTTTGGTTTCGCCGATGATGGCTTCACTTTTGTTGCTACTGTTTTAGCCTTAACGGTACCAGACTTCTTAGCGTCCTTTGCCTTGGCCTTCTCGGTTTTCTTCTTTTCAGCTGTCTTCTTGGTAGCCACGGCTTTTTTAGTTTTCGGCTTCTTGTCGGCAGCTCCCGCGGCCTTCTTAGTGGTGGCTCCGGTCTTCTTGGTCGATACCTTCTTGCTTTTAGTTTTTTCTCAACAGAAGAAGGCTTCGGCTTGGGCTCCTTTTTGGCTGAAGCCGATAATTTAAAGGAACCAGAAGCACCCTTTCCCTTCGTCTGGATCAGCTTACCATTGGCCACAGCAGACTTCAGGTACTTCTTGATGAAAGGAGCCAGTTTCTGAGCATCGCACTTGTATGTGGCAGTGATGTACTTCTTGATTGCTAGAAGCGAGGAGCCCCCACGCTCCTTCAAATTCTTAATTGAAGCGTCTACCATTTGTTGAGTTGGCGGATGCGATGGTGGTGCTGCGGTCTTCTTCGCTTTTGTGGCAGCAGATCCAGTTGCCTTTTTGGCTGCTACTTTCTTCTCAGCCGGCGCCGGTGGAGCTGCCACAGGAGACGCGGATGTAGCTACTGCTGAATCAGACATTCTTTAAATTTTTATTCACAAAAATAAACTTTTTTTATGCAAAAAATAGCCCGCGAACCCACATCCAAAGTCCCTTGTTCGGATGAGAATCGAGGAGGAGAGCAGTTTGACTATGTGTTTGGCACAGTTCATTTGTGTTACAAATGTTTTTTCAAAGGGTGTAATTATTTTTCATTATTTTGTTCTTATGATAATAAAATTAATGTTTGTTTTAATTGCGTTTGAATCTTAAATATTCAAAATTTGAGGAAAACCTTTCTCAGTTGCCGTATATAGATTCGATACTTTTTTTGGGTACCCGAAAGTGCACGTTTACGTTAATATCTTAAATATTTTGCATTAAAACGTCATTAAAAATATAAAATTGTTGTATTTTTTGTTAATTTACTACTGAAAGTCTTAAATTGAACTTTCAACTACCAGCTATGCAAAACGTAACTATATTTTTATGAAGTATTCATGCTTAAATATAGCTTTTAAAATGACCCTTTCCTGGATAAAATGTGAACTTTCATTTGACATTAAGAAACTGTTTTCGTACTAAAAAATATTATTTTTCTAAAATAATGTAAATTAAAATGTTTAATATTAGAATAAATCTTATCTATTTCCCATTCTGCATATCTTAAAAATTCTAAATTCATTTTCGTCTCAAAAATGGATTGTATATTTTCCACTGGTAGCTCGAAGGTATACGTTGAGGCTAGTAATTTATATTCTGAATGTGTTCATATTACCAATAAACTTTTCTTACTTAACTTTTAGTTACCATATTAAAACGCAAAAAATAAACTACAATTTGTTCTTGGGACTAATGAATTTTATTTGACAATATATACACAATTTACTATATTATTTAATAATATACAACTTATAAATTAGTTTCCAATAGACAATATGTATATTAAAAAAAAAATGAAATGTAATTCAACTTTTTTATAACAAGACCCTTCGACCCTTTGCCGCTTTTGTAAAAATCATAATAACATTATTTATAAATTATTAATAAATGATTATTTTGATGATCCGCTGCTCACACAAGACCAGACATATTTTTGGTTCTTCATATATGTATCTTCCAAATAATGACAACAGTGTATTTCAATGTTTATTTTGTAAACAATTCCTTATTTATAAAAAAACATGCTTTTAAATGCTTGGATTTATTTTAGTTATAATATATATCCTAGCGTTCGAAAAAAATATTTAAACCTAACCTATTTTAACCTTTTAAACCTAAAAATAAGTTCTGTAAAATCAAAATAGTTATTCAAATCTCAGTTAAAAAAGCTTTGTGGTCCTGAAAAGGACCGATTTTTTAGTTTAAATTTAAGGGCTGCCAATTGACAATTGTTCAATTTAAGCGCGCTCTCCACGGATACGACGGGCCAGCTGGATGTCTTTGGGCATAATAGTAACACGCTTAGCATGGATGGCGCACAAATTGGTATCTTCAAACAGACCAACCAGATAGGCTTCGCTAGCTTCCTGCAAAGCCATCACAGCAGAGCTCTGGAAGCGCAAATCTGTCTTGAAATCCTGAGCTATTTCACGCACCAACCGCTG